GGGGGGGACACTGTTCAGTGATTTGTAGACATACAGGAGTATTTTGACCTGGATTCGAGGTGAACCGGCATAAACCACCTGTCTCATTCTGATCACAAATTATTTCGGATCGAGCTGAATTAACAAAGAATAATCTATTAGTGAGGCCAAAACTGGTGTAATGTGCTCTCTTTTGTCTGTACTGGTTAAAAATGGGGCTGTTGCATTCTGGACCAGTTGTAGTCGTGCAATGGAGGTCTGACTGATACCAAACAGGAGTGAATTGCAGTAATCAAGCCTAGATGTAATGAATGCATGTATTACTGTCTCCAGATTACTTTTGGACAATATGGGCTTCAGCTTAGACAGTCGCCTCAACTGGAAAAAAACTGGATTTAACAATCATGTTTACATGATTGTTAAGTTTCATGAAAGGATCCATCATCACTCCCAGATTTGTGACTTTGTTTCTCCAACGGGGCTAGAGCAGAAAGGTCGATGCAGTGGTTTGTGATCGTGTCGTTGGGAGAGAACAACATGACTTCAGACTTCTTTTCATTGAAACTTAAGAAGTTTAAAGCCATCCAGTCCCTGATGTCAGCCAGGCAGTCAAGCAGAGGTTGAATAGAGCATGTACCATTGTGTCTTAGGGGGAAGTAAATTTGACAGTCATCGGCATAGAAGTGAAAGGGCATGTTGTGTTTCCAGAAAATAGCACTAAGTGGCAGCAGGTATAAAGAGAATAGAAGGGGACTGAGGATGGACCCCTGCGGAACCCCCCATTTAAGCTCTGCCGCTGCAGAACTAAAATCTTTGATGGAGACACAAAAGGATCAGTCAGCGAAGTAGGATCTGAACCAATTGAGGGCTGACCCTGTGATGCCCACCCACTGCTCCAACCTAGCAATGAGGATCTCATGGTCATTAGTGTCAAAAGTGGATGTAAGGTCCAATAGGACAAGCAGCACAGAATCACCAGTATCTGTGGATAAGAAGATGTCATTAAAAATCTTCAGTAGGGCAATTTCAATGCTGTGGAGAAGCCAGATTGGAATAACTAGTATAGCGTGATCACTTTGACTGGGACTCAACTATTTTCTCCAGTAGTTTAGAAACAAATGGGAGTCTGGAGACAGGCCAGAAGTTGGATAGGACTGAGGGGTCATAGTTTGTTTTTTTTTCAGGAGAGATTTGTATTGGGCAGCTATGTGAGCACCTGGGTGTGACGAAGCTAAATGTTTTTGTGGCATGAAGTTCTTAGCCTATCAAAAAAAAAAAAAA